ATATTTATTTTGTAAGCTTCTATAAATTGACTGAACGTTAAATTTATAATTACCTATTGTATTATGCAAAACAAGTATTATTTTATCAAGTTCGTCATATTCAATGTATTTGCTTTTCTAATGGGGAACTAGTTCGGTACAATTAAAATGTAAATGTTTCTATTCGTGTATCCGTTAAACAGATTTCGATTTCTTCAATATTTTTGATTTATGTACATCTTGTACACCATTGTCTTAGCTTTTTATTAAATTGTTTTAGGTAAATGCGTATTACATATGTCTTTTGCATACAACTAAAGACAGAACATAATTTGATATAACCATTTGCATCGTTAACAAGTGTTGTCGCAGAAAACAACATTAGGACTTTTGGGAATTTTCAGTTGAAAAAATATTTGGTTTTTAGTGAAGAGAATATAGTAGTGTACGTTTTTCGTTTTTAAATTTCCTATAGTGTTTTTGAAATCGTAAGCTATCGGCTTGTGTACATGCATTGTACCTACAGGATTCGGCTAATAGATTCCAGTCCCCGAGGTACACCCAAAGTTCAATTCCAGGCAGTGGCGGATCGCCAAACCATTGCCCCAGATTTGGAGATTTGTGCAAAAATAATAAACGAACGGTATAGACAACACAAAATCGCGTCGGAGATGATATTTTATACGCGTTATCAATTACGAAGGACTGAGGAAGACTGCTGCCGCCACGTAACAGTTAAACGTAATCGATTTTGTCTGTATGAATGGAGGAAAGAAAGAGGTAGGTGTACCTACTGAAAAAAAGAACACGTCATAGCAGGCGATCGCGCATATCCGCAAAGTAAGATGCATCATGAATGTTATTAAATTACATTGTCGCTTCTGTGTATCAGTCTCCGTTAAGTCCATCGCAGTATTTTCGTTGTACTTAGGCACAAACGTGCCGGAATCGTTCAAAGTGTATTAGCCGCTGTAGTGTACACCTAGGGTCGTCTCGGTTGTTATATAACTATTTATAATGTTGTTAAGACCGTCGGAGAACAACGTGCACGCGTCAAGTTAATTTGTTTAAAAACTCGGAAGACCGCTAGCCAAACTTCTTTATTCGGCTCGTAGAGACAAAATTCCGAACACCTTAACGGCCTCGCCTATTATAAATGATATCGCCGTCATAATATTTCTCGTATATCTGCACCAAATACGCCGTGTGATCTTTCAAAGACGACGGGGGATGATAAACGCGTGTTAACATCGTGAAACACAATATTTGATTAATATTCGAGTCGTGCAAATGAGAATGTAATAATACAGCATAGAATATTACAACATTGTAATGTACATCACACGAATTTAATATTTTAAAAGGTCTCTTTTTATATTCGTTTTCATAATAGTACAATCAAAACCGTTACGTTGTGGCGTTGTCGTACACAGGTTGTGTTTTTGTGGTTGTGAGGTTTGGTTAGAGAGATCATAATTCAATGAAAATTAAATTAAATGAAAATTTGAATAATAACATCATTTCTCTATTCGTTGTTATGGTGAAGTAAGTTCAACTGGGTGCTTTTCAGAAACATAAAAAAATCCTTTTTCTTTGTATCAAGTTAAAAGGTCAACTAAAAATATATTGTTTATGTGCCGCAGGGCTTAAACCTTAAGCTCCCATCGTATCCCTCTGGCGAGAACTGTATTTAACACGATTAAAGTGAGTGTATTATTGTATTTTGAAAAATACATTTTTGATTTACATATCTCAAAATAAAAAGGAGTCAAGCGGGTAGCATCTAGGGAACAGTATATTATAGGTAGCCTAGCTATCATACATATTTTATTTACACGTGGCTTTAGAACTTTTTATCACTTGTGGTACCTACTTACGTGAATGAAATTGCAATTTGATTGATCTTTTGAAAATACGTGACACCTTTATACTTTTATACTTACTACTTATTCATGTATTGAATGAGTAAATATTAAATGTGGATAAACACGGAACAATGTAGAAATACTAGACGAATATCTAGGTCAACTTTTCCCAAAGTGTGTTCCGTGGGACAATGTCAAGGGTTCCGTTAGATGTATGAGATTATTGAGAAAATTATGTTTATTTAATGTTTGTTGCTTAAAAAATGTTTGATTGAAAATTTTTTTTAAACTAAGTTTAATAATGAAAAGTCATTAACAGTATCACTAAAATATTATTTGGACTTGAGAGTTTAAGGAATTGATTTTCCTTTTTTAATTTACAAAAATTGTAGTTGAGTTGGATTAGACATTAGGATTCCGCGAAACACAAATAATTTTTTAAGGGTGCCGTGGTCGTAAAAGTTTGGGAACCTCTGATCTAGGTAACCCTAGTATTTTATGTCATTTGCGGTTGTATCTCCAACAAAATATGTACCTAAGAACCTGCCTATAAAATCACATTGAAATCGAATCTCTTTAATGTAAAAAAAGTTTTGCATTTCATCTATACACATAATTTTAATGCTCCACTAACTTAACTGATGTTTTTCCATAAATTTGTTTCAAAATCGAAGAAAAAAAATAAAAATGTGACTTTTATAGTTATTTATTCAAAGTAATATTTTAATCTCTAAATGACTATGAAATGATAAACGAATATTATATATGATATATTTTAATGCATGCATTTTTCTTAACAAAGGATATCCTTCATATATAAGTAACAAATTTATTATATTTTTTTTATCTGCAACAATATGTGAATTATTATGTTAGAAAAATATACTTTTTAATTTGTGTTAGTGGTGTTATTAAATAAAAAACTATTATTAATGTTAGTACGAATATTAATGCAGACTTTTTACCGGTTATATGGATCACTTAATGTGTGACTAAATTAAAACGTAATATATTTTAGATTCTTAGTGGAGCGATGAATATATTCATAACAATGATACGTGTTTTTAATTTTTATAATGCCTGTCACCCTTTGGAGCAACAAAAATGTTTTAACTATCAACTTTGAGAGTGGTTTCCACTGTATGAGTAATTGACCTAGTAACTAGTACCTACTACATAGATGGTTCAAAAATTCTAAATAATTTCTTAATTGTCTAATAGAGTGAAAAAACACAAAACCAGATTTCGATATAATCAATTACCTATGGTTTCTTATTAGAAAATGAATAGGTAATGTGTAGAGACTTGGATTTTTCACGATATTTGTAAAAGCACTTTTTACAGATGATTTACATTTTAAAATATTTTGGTACTTTTGTGCTCCACATATTATTACATGCTTGACATTTTTAACTAACAACGTTTTTAGTTTTTTTCAATTTTTGTTTGTGAGTAAAAAGTTTGAATGTACATTTTATTACAAGGTTTCTCATAAGTCGTTCTCACAGACGTTTTTTAAATATTGAAAAATATATACCTATTACAATATTTAAAATGTTAATATTAAAACTATGAACCAATTCACCCTGCTATACGATATGTCGGTATTGACTTATAACAAGTTCATAACTGCTAGAAATATTATATGAAATAATGATTTATGAATTATGATTTTATTAGTCATTTCTAATTACTTTATTATTACTTTATTTGTTTTTTGCCAAAATTAGTTCATCTTATAATATAGGTATTATGAATATAAAAATAAATTTTTAATAGTAATATAAATACATGATACAATATCTGTTGGCCTCGCAGTCAATAACGTGTTCTGAGGTCAAGCATCGGCCGGCGTCATTAGTTCCTGGATGGATGACCACCCGGGTTTTTATTGAAGAATTCTCGCCCTACATACGCGTGTTCCTCAACCAACCGTAATCCCCCTACAATATGCTAATGGCCATAGTTGCCGATGTTTAACATCAATAAAAAAGAAAAATATTCTTAGTATTTTAAGTTGACACTTGACAGACTGCTTTTTCTCAGAATCGTTTTCCATAGTATATATTATAGTTTTATCATTGAATAAAAATTTAACATACCCATTATAATGACATACTCAATAACGAGGTATACTGGACACCTACTATAAGTTGCAGTACTCTGCCAGTCTGTAGTGACTGACTTAATTTTAAATTATTTTTTCTGCATTTATTTTATTATTATAAATTTATTTACATATTCGATCATTTAAAAAATAATGTATTATACACAAGCATGTATTATCGTAGTTAACTATACAAAATACATGACAGAAACTTAAATAAATATTACGTAGTATATGAAAAAGCAAATTATACTTTAAAGAAAATACAAAGGATATACCTTTTTTTTATAGATGTGTGCAGCACAAATGTTATTATATTTTTAACTTTTGTAATTTTTGCAATATTTGCTGAAATCCATATCTTTATGAAATTTGAAGAGCTTTATAAAAATAAAAATAAACTTTTCTCTGATCCATAGTGACATTTAGTATATATTGAAGTACGTGTCCGTACTTGAGTAAACAATAGAGCATGGTTAAGATTTCTACTTAACCGAATTCACAAGATGATTGTCAGTTATTATTTGTTCTATATAATTTTTAAATATCGAATGCTCAAGCTCAATATAAGACGTTTTAGCTGTATTTTTTCATGGTCAAAGGACCTACTCTCGAAGGAAAACTGATATCACACACCACTGTCCCGCCCGAAAAAATAAACTAGATTTTTACTTTTTACAGCGTAATCTAACCGGCATGGTTTTTTTTTATAAAGGTCGATGGATATTTTCGATTTAAACTGCTCATACTCGAGTGACCTTGCTTGGTCTCTAGGTGTGGTGAAAAAATAAAAATAGCCTTTTTCCTACCCTAATACCTGGCCGGCGTAATATATGCGACTATTGTATTAGCATAATGCATTACATTTTAGATTTACGTTCACGTTCAAAGTTTTCGGTAAACCTAACAAAATACGTATAATATAATATCATAGTTTTGTTAACATTACTGCCGTGCGAGTGTGCAAACACTGCAATTTTAAAATTAATGCGATCACAATAGCTACTTACATAATAATTATGATCACAATTTTCGACGGATTTTTGCAGGGTTCGGACAGAAAACGTGCCTACCAGACGGCTCGTGGTTCAAACATCCGGACAGCAACAAGACGTGGTCCAATTACACTACGTGCGTCGATCTGGATGATCTTAAGGTCGGTACCGTAAAAAATACATCTCAGTTTTCAATTCCGGTGGCGAGAGGAGGTGGTATTGAACGCTCATCGCTCACCCGCCGCCTCCCCTATATTATTATATTACTACGATAACGTTCGCCCCCGGCGACGTGGCATTATCTATACATATACGTCTCATTTTTACCTACCCCTAACCATCGCCCACCCCTTCACCCCGACACGATTTATAGGCCGACGGCGCTGACTGCCGTGACTAATGGCCGCACTTGTACACGCCACCGCCGCCGCGGCGCAGTGCGTACACACCAGAACTGTGATAATAATTTTGTATATACGTATAATTCCTGTTTATTATTGTGCTTGTATACAAATTATTATTATTATTATTATTATTATTACGTCGTAATAATGCACATTCATGAAAAATGTGGAACGCCGTAGGTAAGCTCGTCCATTATCCGAACTGTATATGTTCTGTATAACCTACCTGTGCGTAATTGAAACAGCCGCTGATATTTATCGTTCGAAAAAAGCCGCCGACGAACCAAACAATACACACAACGGTAAAAATAACCATATAACTATATAACGATAATAACGTGCGAGCACATTATATTGTGTCATCACCAATTCTGTGTAGTGTGCGTCTACCAATTACCATTATATACATTTTAGGTATAATACGTATGCTGTTTATAATACGTGCCGCCAGCAAAACGACGCGAGAATGATGTACCGGAATAAACTTTTTTTTTTTAAACCGATTCCCCTCAAACTATCTAGAGAAACTGTACCAGTTGCCATCTACTTATTATTCTATACCGCACGAACACAATACTACCATCTACCACCTGTCCTAAAATAGGGTATAGGTAAATATCTGCCCAGACAGAATTTTGTAAAATGATAATATTGTAATATTGTTATTAGGTAGGTATAACGTTATCGTTGTACTATTATTATTTCTAAGAAAATAATATTAGTATAATGTTTAATTAGTAAGTGAGTAATAGTTAATAAAATAATAACTTGAGAGAAATTACTCGTCTGAATTATGAATTAGGTATATCAACATTTTCAAAAAAAGTTATCCACTAAGTAATTTACAATAAAAGTTTCTAATTTGAAAAACAGAAAAAAAATTATACCCCTTAAGACCTCAAGTAATACAAATAAATTCATGAATTTAAAAAACGGTCTTCGAGTAAATTTAAAAATTTCTTTGTATAGGATTACCATTGGTTACAATATTACATTAAATTGTTGTATTAAAATTATATATCATTTTAGATCTGTATTTTTATATTTGGTCAAAGCCACCCAAAGTACTTACTGTGTTAAAAATACGTGTAGCTTATATTTAACCGAGTTAAGGACAGGGTAAATCCAATGGTATTATTTAATTTGTCACCGTAAACGACGTGCCGGTTCAGCTAGTTATTAATAAAATTATTTCTGTTGCGATAATGACCAAAAGACTTTACAAAATCTAATCTACCAATATTTTTATTTTTTTATACTATGAGAGTAATACATTGGTAGATTTGGTTGAGGACAACTGCCAACTGGTACATTTTCTAAATGCCAAAAACAGCAACTGAGGAAAACTGCAGGTGTGTACCCAATCATATTACTCTTGGCAATAATCTTATATTTTTAAGCTCTCCATCTCATACGCTTGTACTTATAATACAATACATCCACCTAGGTTGATATAATTTTCTCCTGAAAACAAATACATAACAATTTATTTTAAGGAAAATGATTTTGATTTGCGCGTGTGCGCGCTAATACATCGATGCCTTCACACCGTCGACGGACTTTGTTGACGAGAACAAAGGACGGATTTTTATTTCTCCTTTTTCTTTTTTTGTTTCTAGTTGAGGAATCAAGTGAACATGATCTACAAATGGGGCTACACCGTGTCGCTGGCCGCTCTGGCGGTTTCCATATTCATATTCTTTTATTTCAGGTACTATACGCTGCACGTATTTTATAATACAATTTCATAATAGATCGTCGTCATCGCCACTCCCCTCGATTTATTGCTTCCCATACATAAAATGCAGGTATACTGGCGCAGCTACGTGCGTGGAATTTTTTAATATTTTCCACAAAACGGTATTCGTGGAAAAAACGTATCATCGTCCGTTTTCCACGAAATATCTCTATGATATTATAATATAGATATATAATGGTACATGGCGTACATTATAGGTCAGCACGTCGAATATTTACTGTCGGAGACGTATGTAATAATATGAACGATCAACAAGTCGCACGTTGATACATAATAATAATATGGCTATACGAAGTGACCCTTTAACATTTTAACGTAATACCTTATTTTTCAGAAAACACAAACGTAGGTTTTTGAAAATATAATTTGAAGTCAACAAGACCACGTTTTTAGAAAAATACATTTTTATTTTTTTTATCGTTATTATATTTTTGACTTTTTTGAATGCCAACAAACATTTTTAATTTTATAATACGAAGCAGAATATTATTCGGAGTGTTTTGACCTATAAAAATAAAATATTGGACAGGTTGTTTATTAGTTAGAAGTATTTAAAGTTTTGTTGAGCTGAGCAGCGGACCATCATTTCACGGGATACCTCTGCACTGCATCACTTCGCTCATCGAAACTTTAAATACTTATAACTTATAAACTACTCTTTCAAAGTTCGATTTTTATGTGCCGAAGTAGGTACTCGTAAAAATGTTCTGCTTTGGAATAAGAAATTAAAAAATGCACGTTGTCATGGAAAAATGTGATCAATTTAAAAAAATTATAACGATAAGAAATAGTTTATATATAAATGTAAAAGTACCTATCTATTTCGTATTATATGTGATGTGTATTTGATACTATAGTAGAAGTAAACGTTACTCTCGAAAACTCATTTCTTATAGTCACCCCGGCTAATTGGAAACCAGCGATTAAAACCATTTCATACGCAATTAATCGATGACAACTGTAGTTTCATTCGGTAGTTTAAATAATTACTGTTATTAGACGATTCGAACGTCAAACAAACGACTCTCATCAAATCCCCAAAGCAATCAAGTTCGCCTGAAACGATGTCTTTTTACTACTGTCACTGCATGTTTTCCAAAAAGAAAAACACTGTAATCCTGGTACCGAAACGTTCGTATTTTTCGCGGATCAACTCTTCAACTAAAATCAACTCCGCATTAAGCCCCCGGGGACAATAAACTACCCTTCGCGAATGCATCTTTTAAACGGGTCCGTTCTCTGCTCGTATATATTGTACGTTTGGTATGATTTGGCGTTCGAAATTATTAATACGACGTGTGTGCAGTACAGTTGTAGTTGTCCGTGTGTAGTGGAAATGGACTGGAAATAACACTATTGACCGGGGCAGGAATTTAGGTACCTAAACCTATCTATAATACTATGATGTGGTATAGTCGCGGCCCCGCACAGTTCTCAGCCCATGGGATACGTCAGTAAATATAAATAATCACCAGTGGCGCGATAAATAATTATTTTAGTTTCGCGTCGGAACACGAATATTTACTTCAAAATCAGCCGAATGGCGAATTTAAATTTTTCGATTAGCTGCCATATATTTTTTAAAGGGTTTTATTTTTAATCTAAATAAATGTGTTGGTATATAAATGATAATGACAAAAAGATAACTGCGCAACGTGCGAAATAAGCCATTCGTTTCTCATTTCATGTCATATCGGTGCTGGGGTACAGCGATCAATATTTTTTTTTTATTAAAATATTAACTTTATTATTTATACATTTACTTTAAACATAGATATAAAACGTGTGGCATTAAAAAAAGATACCTACCTTAAGTGTCATAAGTCATAACTGTAAAATATGTACCAGCAACATAGCATTTTAGTTGTTGGGAATGTTCTATTACACTCTGGAAGTGTATACATTCAAGCGTTTTAGATACTTGTAAAACCTGTGTATCGCAAGTATTACATTTAAAAATAAGATATCATATTATGAAAGTTATTTTTAATTAGGTAAGTATTTCAAATCGTTTAGAGAATGATTATCTTTCAAAGGTTTGGTCCAACCTTGAAATACTATATTTTTTTGCCTGCAGGCTGCCAGGTACATTTTTTATTTTAAGAGCAGCTCGCTTTGTTTGTTTATAAATATTTTAAATAATTAAGTTAATTTCCGTAAGCTTTTAGTAAAACTACATTTTAATCTATAATGTACCCACTTTTAATACCGGCCATGCCCACTTTTCTCTGTAGAACATTTTACACGTAATCATATTACGTTACAAGTTTATAGCCCATTGAACTTTCTGTTGACTCATGTTCGTGTACTCGGGTAAACTCAATAATTGTGATTGTTTTAATTAGTTGAAATATTTATGGTACTTGGTAATTATAATAATTTGCTATATTTACATATATCACAGTATGATTTGTATACATTATATGAATTAGGTAGGTACGTTTTAAATATTAATATTAAAAATACGTTTAAATAAAAATTAAATGATACGACATTCATATAAAAGAAGATTGAAATTTGGCGAATGTAACCAATTAAATACGAATTTAGGATTGAAAATGGAAAGTATTAAGTAAAACAAATTAATTACAAAAACTTGGTTTATTGCACGTTTAAAGTGATATAAAAAAATGTTTTTAGATTTCAATTGAAACGAGGAATGTATTGTTTTCACAAGTTATTATCTTATTATACTGAACACTTTTAAGAAAGAAAAAAGTTCGAAAAAATGATGTAGCAGTTTTAAAGATGGAAAATCGAGTCTTGATGGTCCTTTGAACTGGTCCTTTCTGATTTTTATTTTGAAATATTTTGTAAGCTTAAAGATACTCTACCTTCAAACACCGTTTTAACGTCCGTAAAGCTTCGTTCAAAATCGTTTTTTGATTATGATCTATTATTGGTTTCAAAATTCATATCACAATACTTATACACCTATACCGTTATATTTTTCATTATTATTTGTACCATTATCCTATGTATACTCGTAGATGAGCGAAACATCTACAAAACACCCGGTCTCGTATCCTGTCCAGCTTTTTCAAATAAAGTTTTTTTTATAATGTAACTAGGTACCCACTTTATAAACATTTTATAATAAATTCATTGACATTAGTTTCAAATTGTTGGGTATTTTTTTTTTGTATCGTCGATTGCATTATGCATTATATATTATGCTACTGACAATTATACTCATCCTAATATCATATAAGTTTTTTCAACTACGTGTCTGCCTGTATGATCTCGGACAATTTTTCTAACTTACCAAAATGTTTCAAAATACAAACACAATTGTTATCGTTTATAATTTGTTGTATATTAAAAATGCTTATTCGGTATAATATACATAATTATATAAACACTGACATGCAGCTCTGGGTATAATATTATTTCCAGGAGCCTCACGTGCACTAGGATACAGATACACAAGAATCTGTTCATATCGTTGGCCGTCAATAATTGTCTATGGTTGGTGTGGTACGAAGCGGTTGTCGACAATTTGCCGGTGCTGATGACGAACGGGGTGAGTAGTATAAGACACGAACACGGAAAACGAGATCGCATTTACACGAACGACGAATTTATTTTTATTTTTTTCAATTAATGATATATACTTGCCTATATTTTTATCGTAAATCCGAGAAAATAATCTTTGGTCTTTGACGTCGTCGTCACTCTCAATCCATCTGAAAATCAAAATTTTTTAGCTGGGATGCAAACTGCTGCACGTCCTGGTCCAGTACTTTCTGGTGGCCACGTACTTTTGGATGTTTTGCGAAGGTCTGTACTTGCACACGTTGCTGGTGGTCACGTTCCTCACCGAGTCCAAAGTGATGCCTTTCCTGCACACGATTGGCTGGGGCATACCGGCACTGTTGGTGTCCACGTATGCGGCTCTCCGGACTGCCACTCCCGGCGAGACTTTACAGTTAGTACGTTTTAGTTAATACGATCATGGTGTGGGTATTGTACACAGTTGTTATTATTGATTCGTAGAGAAATTCACAATTTATAATGATCATTCCATTCGATATAGCCGCTCGAAATCGGTCGACCTAGGTACCTATTCTACCTGTTGCTATCTACGACAAAATAATAAAAATAACAACGATCCGTAAACGTTTATGGTCTTAACAAACACTGCAGTCGTTATTATGTATTTCACTCGGACAACAATAACTATCGAGACGGCTGTAAGAAAGAATTTATGGTAAACACTTAAGTGGAATATACATTTAAGGTCCACATGCCACTGCCTTGGCCGACTACAATAATATTTTCTCTCGTTTTTGTCGGCAACATGTCCATAGGTAATAATTATAGCTGAAAATACTGACCGAATTCTAAGTTTAAATCAAACTTTTCGTTTTTGTGCACACTGTATATAACGAAGAAGGTTTTAAGTTTTCATTTCAACGAGCATGCTGATTTTTGAGGACCGTATGAATTAATGGGACTAATTAAAATATTGTCTGATAATTTGAGTTTCGTAGTTACTAGTTGGTCATAATAAAAGAATTTGATTTTATGAAGGACACTCACGTAGGAGTGCATCACATAATAAATCAATACGATAAAAGGTTTTTTAATTTGAGTTCTTATCAGGATTACGTTTGAGATTTACACAATATTATTACACTAGTCACCAGTGAAGATTTATTTTTAAAATAAAAAAAGTGATTACGATTTTAAGCCAAGTTATGTGACTGTCTTATAATTTCATAAGCATTTAATACCATCAGAAAGTTCTGTTAAATAAATATTCAATTCTCGCTTTTAATACTGTCGTATGATATCTTTAATTATCGCGAAACATGAAAAACCATACAACAGTCTTATTTATGTGATCCACGGTAAAACTGTTTTCAAATGATAATATTCTTAAGTTATAAATAACTTATATTAATATAACTTATAGTATTATATGATTCTTACAAATTGTAGACTTATTTATGTACAGCTTTACTTTTACATTAAGTTGTTTGAACTTAAACGTTTGATATTTATACATTTATCACAACAATAATAAGTATTACGTACTTAAATAGGATGGCCAAACAGAATTTAATACATTTAAATTAATGTTGATAACTTTAATTCCATCGTTGTAACAGTTAATTATTATAAAAATACCTTATGAAAATGGCAGGAAATTCATTATTTTATTATTATTATTATTTGTTTTTTTTTCATTATAATGTGTTATGATTAGTATACATTTCATAATATAAATCTTACATTTTTGTTAAAAATACAGCGATTTTGTGCTTTAGTTTAAAGACTAATTTTCTAATTGATTTAGAATACGATTTAAATATTTACTTTGGCTAACCATGAATTTATTTTACAGTTTATTGTATAAACAAATTTAAAGTTTATAAATTATTAAACTTTTATTTTGAATTATCGCTAAAGCAGTGTTATAATGTATTTCACCAAAAAGTCATATAACTGATCTTAATAGGAACTTCGTATCATAAATCAAAACGTCAGCTATCAAACATTTAAACTTTTAGTTAACCGATTTAACGATTTTTTTTTTGAAAACTCCTTTATTTTATACTAAACGTAATGTCTAAAAATAATTGTTTATTTTAAAATATATTTTTTCTTATTAGTTATTCTGAACTACTAAGTAAAATATAATTATTTATCGAATAGTTTTTACAATTTTTTTCGGTATTCTTATGTGTACATATTTATTTTACAAACCACAAAAAAATGAAAACAATTCCATTAAAAATATCATCTTTTAAGCGGTTCGGCTTCACTGAAAGAGCTTGAGTTTAAATTGAATTAAAATAAATTCAATGAATTTTGTAAAAACCTGGTTAGTGTAATTGTTTATTACAATAAATTGCTTTTGAAGCTGTTTATATTATAATATATTATTATTAAAACCACATAGGTATCTGATATTTTTTACGCAATATTCGTTAAGTTAAATTATTTTAATATTTTGTTAATGGTTTCAATGTCGGAAAATTAAAATACTGCTGTAACTATTATACGCTGTAATAGCCAATAAGTTGTGCAGTATATACTATTAAATATTATCATAGGATCCACAGATCAATGTATTTCTACAAACTAATTATTTTTATATTTTTTTAATGAATAAACATTATCGATTTAATCCAAGCTTATGTTGATTCAAAGTAGTGTACAGTGCACAAGTGACTTTGGATAACGGTTCTCGTGTTAAACAATTATTATCACATAAAATTAATTTTGTTAAACTGTACCTAATCTCTTGGAGTGGGTTGACTATATTATTGATGCAGTGATGCGATTTAAACATAAATTCGTGGACTTGCGATTAATCTTAGTTTAAATTCTAGTTACAAAATATAACTAATTATTCTATATATCAATAATATTGTATTAACACATTTACCACTGAGTGAATTTCGTCGAATATTTGATATTTATAATTTAACAGTAACTTTATACGACAATGACACAATTATGTGCGTAGGATATTATATTAGAGAAAAAAGTCTAAAATTAATTTCCCGCTACTTATTACAATACGAATTGTATAACGATAACCAGTTGAAATCCTACCTACTCGTATCCAATTCCAGTTCCAAGGATTTTATGAATTCAGTTTTAATTTTTTAACAATAGTCGTTCTTGTAAATTGCAACTTTTTACTGTCATTCGATTTTTCATTTGTCATTACCACCAATCGTACAATGATTCGCTATTGTCACAGTTGTCTCTAATTTTTTTTGAATACTTTTTGGCAATCAATTGTTCAGATTTTTTTCTTATTTCTAGAACGAAAGTAATTGTATTTGTACTACGCATTAAAAACTTGAGTATTTATATATTGGTTTTTTTTTTAAATAAAATTCTTCTCTTATGAATAATTTACGTTTTATGTCAGTTATATCATATATTCATATTATACTTTTTTTACCTAGCAAATTTAAAATTAATTATTAATTTTTTCATTAGTTCGGTTTTAGTTCGTTAGATTGAATTATTCCATCAAATGTTTCGGGTTACATTAACTATTAAGATCAAGTTTCTTGTATGTAGTGCTGATTGTACGGCATTGTGTATTCTATGATAATAATACTTAAAATTGGGGGATGAGGTGACCGAGTGGTCTGACGCGTCCGCTGCGACGCAGCCGGTCGCGGTTCGATCCTCGGCTACCGGGCGGCATTTTTCTCCGGACAAGTCGCGGTGACCGGAGAACAAGTGCTGCCATCCCCCACCCCCGGGGCATGGCAGAAACCTACGGGTGCCCNNNNAAAAAATATACAATACAAACTACAATACAAATCCTACTACAGCTAATGGCCTCAGTTGCCGAAGCTTAAGTTCAATAAAAAAAAAATATAATATAAAAAAAAAAAAAAAAAAAAAAAAATACTTAAAATTTGTTTTTGATTCTGTCTTATTATCAGTCCTTATTTTTTTTAATAAAAATACTGTCAAAATTAGGGAAATTAATCATTCGTGCGTAGTAGGTATTGTGTTTGTTCAAATAATTATACTTAGAAATGGATATTCGTATGACATTAAAAGGAAATGGATGCAAAATGTACTTAGAATTAAATAGTTGTGTATTGTCACTAATGTATGCAGTATACCTCAAATCTCACAACTATACTTAAAACTAAATGGTGACAGCATATTTTATTTTGGTTTTATAAATCTAAATATAATACAGTATACTAGGAACTCAATATCTAAAAACACCGTCTGGTATACTTTATACATTAATTATAATACTGCACCCAATAAAATAGTTTTAAAATTAATTTTTTTTCTTGGTCTTCAATGAGAAATTATTTGTTTTTTTAAACTATTTTCTCGTGATCTACGCATATGTAGAGCGAGTCGTAAAGAAAATGTATTAATTTTTATCGACAACGAATGTCTAGCAGCCACCTATGTTGTTATAATAATATATATTATTTGTTTTCATATTTTATTGACAAGTAATGATGAGTAAAGTTGTATTAGTGGCAATACGTAAAAAACCTAACCTACGGATAGTAAAACATGTGGTCGAAAACGACAGATTGTCGATGTGTCAGTATCACAGATATAGATGATAAAGTAGATTGCTAACTAGTGATAACAGCCAACGCCAAAAAAATGTAGTGTTGTTTGTGGGGTGTGTATGGTGTTATCATCTGACAAACCTAATTTATCATTAGACAGACTCGATAAACTACCATAGGCTACAACCTGTATGCTGAAAAAGTAGTGTCATCCATCCTGCTTGTCAATGTATAGTAGTCAGCAATCTAGTTTATTATCTATATTTGTGGTCAGTATTCATTTTCAGTATGAGTTCCAATTAGATTGAAGTGACGTTGTAAAGCTGATACGGGATTATCGAAAATAGCAAGCACTACCGCCGCCGTGTCATCGGCGTAAATAGTTAACGTCGTTAAGTGTTTGTCGGATGTAAATGATGATTATGTCGACGAGCGTTGCAAGAAAGAAATCAATACTAATTCAATATCAAAAATTAATTTTCCAATTTAGTTTAGACTTAATATTGTACGACAGTTTAATTAACGGTCTTGCTGCAGCCATCAGCTGATATTGCACGTTTGAGAGGGCTGTGTGGTATTTGTGTACGGTGTGAAAATCTGTTTTTAGGTTTTAATTCAATGTGGCACGTCTTAATACTAAACAGGTACTTAAAACGTTACGTGACTGAACTGCACGATAAAGGATCAGACTCGGCCTTACAATTTTGCCATACTCGCGAAGAAACAGGCGGTTGGGACGAACCCGGCATCTATATTCTGTAACAAATGTAAAAATTCAAAATAAATACACCTTGACGATTTTTTACCGGGCGTTTTTAATTTCCTGGCTGGTTTGACGTTGTCGCAGTCGCTAACGCAGAATCATCCCGTTTAACCTAACGCAACCGGTACAAATCAATTTAAA